GGGGGGGGGGGGGGGGGGTTGGTTCAATGCGTAGACGATGCCCAAGCAAACGAAAAAGCTACGAGGACATTGCAACATTCTTGCGCTTCCGAATCATTTCATGAAAGTCTAAAAAAGTTGAGTACTGAATCATTGAACAACCCCATTTTGAATGCTTTAGAATCTCGTCGCAACCTCTGATCTTGGAGTGTTTCAGATTGGAATGAAACAACACCTGAACTTTGGCAAGCTCCTTAGGAGGATCTATGTCGACGAGATGAAATTTTTGAGCAAGAAGTATTCATCCAAAGAGGTACGTCAACAAAATGGTTGTACTTAGGTAAGAACATTTGCTAAACGAGGCGGCTTCGCCTTCCTAGGAGACTGCATTGATGAAAAACAAAACGTTTATTCAAAACTCGGAACATTCCCCTTAGCCTACCTCCGTGAACCTACTAAAAATAACGATCGATAAGGATTTATGCAACACCTGATTCTTCGATCCGGTTCCCTGGCAAAGATGCTTGGGCTAGAATCTCAAATATGGAGGATATCAGTAGTTCAGAAGCCAGGGATAATTCCTCTCCTACGTTTTAGTATGAATTTTTTCTAAAAGAAAAAAAAAAAGAAAAAATTAGTGGGCCCATAGTCTTGCAGATGATCTCAGAAACGAGTTTCGGGAATTTCAAGTGTATGCCTCTTCGCGGAAACTGTTTTCGATGAAAGTTGTGGCTCTTGTGGTTGTGGGCTGCCCCAAGTTTTCACCCAACATCACAATTCGTCCTGAAAAACATCGCTGGTACTCCTACCCATTCACTTGCGCGTTATTACTGCACAAGAAAGGGCTGTGCAGTAATTCCGTACTTTTTTATTCTTCAATCCATGGATCTCTAACTGTTCATCTTGTAACACTGGGCTATAGATTTTTCGAATTTAACACTCACCCCAGTAAGAGCTCTATGAGTAAGCCTTGTGGCACGTAAAAAACTTATTGTTTCAGCTTGTTCTCGGAAATTTCCATTTCTGCACTTCTCTATGTCAAGCCAATTGTAGATCTACATCCGGTCGACAGACAGAAATCGAACGTTACTATCAGCTATGTCGAACCTTCTTGGTATGTATGGTCAGAATGACGGAAATGCCGTCCGTGATCACGACTATCCGTCCGAAGAAGGATGGCCTATTGGATTTGTTCCAGTGCCTATTCACACCGTTGAAAATCACATCGACTATGTAAGCTTCATGGCTACCACATTCGCAAACAAATCCCATCAACTTACATTTTCTTCACAAAGGTGTTGAACCCCGATGCTGACTGTGAACGTCAAGGCCAATTATGGGAAATGGCCAAGACTTCTCCGGAAGTGAAAGCATTCATGAATCGACGTGATGTGAGTTCAGTTTGAGAATGGATATGGGGTAAAAATGGCGCCATAGGCTGCTTTCATAGTCCGCGGGCGTGCCGACGTGCCGTTTGCCTCCCTCCTCCCCCCTAGCACTACTTCGACTGGAACGCTGGTGGACTATGAAAGCAGCTAATCCTTGATTGTTCAGAACATATTGATTGGTTTATTCATGATTTATTTGTTGACTTAATTACTAACTATACCATTTGACTGGGTTTCTGAAACTCATTTCTTTTTTATTTACTTTCAATTCCTCTCAATTTATCTTACTTATGTTTGATTGCACCTTATAACTTTTCTCCGCTAGATGTCCCAATTTAAGCTTGACAAATGAGTGCCTAGTCAATTTTTGATTAATTATTATATGCCAATGAACCATTTGAAACAATGTAGTGTAGGTTTCGTTGGGTAGGTCCAGAGCGGTGATGATTCATAGTGGTTCCACCTCCGTCAGCCGTTTCTTATGAAATAGCATAGGGTGCTGCGTTACGAAAATGGGGGATCGAATCCTGCTCGGTTGATGCCTAGGTAGAGAAATCCTCTTTTTCATTCGTGTCGGTCAAAGAGATGCGGGAGGGTAAAAAAACGCTAGCTGTACCGTGGCTAGCCTTTGCAAGCCCATTTATGGGCCAAATATCCATTCAATGTTATTCCGAATGGATAAAAAATACATGAACCCGCTTCGAAGAATGATTGATCACTTCCAAAGCACTTGCTTTTTTCTCTCTTCGAGATATTAAAATATACAGATGAATTAAGCGATTTCTCTGAACTTTCCATGAGCTCTATTGGAGATTTTATAAGGACCCTGAAGAAACTTATTTTGGCCTATTTATCATGTTGTCACCGGGTTTCCCAACTTTTATATCTAAAGTGTAGTCAACGAATTCCAGTCAAATTCAGTCAGTCTGTTAACTTTACATTCTCTAAACAAGTACTAAAATCTAATACCTTGGTAGCCAGGTTTGCCGATATTTTTCATATTTGTTGATTACCTATTACTTTTTCGAAACTTTATTCTTGTTTACATATTGTTGCTCATCGTGCACAGTTTTTTTCAGAATAATTTGTGAAATTTTGTCTTCGGAATTCTTCAAATTAGGGATCTTTGTTTTCAGGTTGTTGCATTACTTGAAAAATTGACTAAAGAAACTGGAACCAAAGTAACCATCGACAACCTGTGGATAATACGGGACTCATTACTAATAGAAGTAAGTTAAGGTCTAACGTAAAGGCAGAGTTCACGATAATTTTAGGGTACTCTCTTTAATTTGAAAAGTCGAAGTAGAGCAGTAAATCAGTGACGAAGAAAGCAAAAAAATCCGCCTATTTCGCGAAAAACTAGGCTCTTTCAAAATAGTGGAAAAGAGATTGTAGGAGATTACCATGACGCGAGGGACATGTAGGGGGTGTTTGAACGGGATTTCACTTGCTTCAACTGCGCAAAGAGCTAACTACATCAAGCCGAAATTGTCCGAGACTGATCTTTTGTTGTCTTAGATTACTACAGTTATTTGGACTTCCTACATGGGAGTCCATTGAGATAGTGCAGCCTCTACAACGCTGTGAAACTTATTCACTATGGGTGTAAAACACAAAGTATAATTCTGGCTCCTTATTGTGCCCAGACAGGGCGTTTCTGACCTAATAACGGCAGGTATGGTATAAGGTAAGGCCCGAATTCATACAATGGGGAATCTCAGCACTCACTTTTGTCGTGAACTGTGCCTTCAAATTTAGGTGGTTATAAAAACTGTAATCATGCTTGAACGGAGTTCATTACAGCAAGCACATAAGAATGAAACTCTAAGAAAGCTAAACAAATGGTTCAGTGACGCTCTCTTCGAAGAAATGACTAGGATCAACAACAAGGTGCAAATCTATGAAAATGGAATCTATAGTGAGTTCAACTATAAAGTGCAGACCAGACAATTTTTATCCATGAAGTACTGGTAGGAACGCTCTATATATGTACGTGAACAAGATCGAAACCAACAGAGTACACTTTCATCCGGAGGTTGGAAGGGTCACCAATTTTTGTGCATTTTCTGAGGCTTCACTGAATCGTACGGATATATGCACACAGTTAGTCGATGGTTTCTGTTGCACGAATTGGGGGGAGCAAATCTATTGGTATAATTCAATCTTGTCTGATGGATGCTCTAAGCATTAGACTTCAGTTCAGAATGTAGTGCCTTACTGAATGCGTGCGTGAACAATACAATGAATTCCGTTGGTCAAACGATGTACAAGACAGTATTTTTATCCTCTCAGACGGGCCAGATACCAATTAATCAACGATGAAGGATGAGAGGTTTGGTTGTCCTAGGCGAATTCAACACGAGTTTCGAACCTGTGACCGTACATGTGTGATAGTGCGCTACTTACAACTACACCACCTCCGCCTAGATGGCCTAGTAATAAATGCAAAATAATTCATACGACCCAAAACTTTTCTTTTTTACTTTTCAACACATAGGGTTTCGAATAGCTCTAGGAAATTCTTCAAAATCTGAGAAGAAAAAATGGATTGTTTCAGACGGAACATTAATGATGAACA